GCTCCAAGTCTCTTGTAGTCTCCTGCTACAACTTCCCTTTTTCCAGAACACTGCTGACTAATCCACCGTTCACACCTCGCAAATTTGCTGCCCCTGTGTCCCCCCCTTGCGCGGTCTTTTTCACCATTCCACTAATCCCTTCCCACATCTGCTTGACGTTTCCCTCCAGGCCTCCGTTGGCCTTCTGCACTACTTCGTCCCAAATACACTTTTTCTTCTTTTTCACTAGTCCCTTCACCTGTTTTCTCTTGGCCCTGTACTTTTCCCAACTCTCCTCAGACGCCTCACTCAGGTACTGCTTGAAGACTTCTCTACGTTCCCCTATTTCTTCTTTCAGCTCGTCATCCCACCACTTAACCGATACCCCACATCGTACCACCTTCTTTCCCACTACTCTCTCTGCCGTTGCGTTCACGATGGACTCCCACCCTTCAATCACCCTGTCCCCTGCTGCTTGTACGTCTACCTGTCCGTCTTCGACGCTTCTCAGCAGTTTCCTGAAGGGTTCTACACTACCAGCCAGTCCCTTCTGAAATTCATCCCGTGTTGCAATCTCCTCGATCCCCCACTTCCACCGATGTTCTACTGGTTCCTCCTTGTTCTCGTTGCATACCATGACGGCACTCTTCTTAACGTTGGCAGACAATCTCCACTTATCAGTAAACTTCTTCGCCGCGTCAATTTGCAGTTGCAGTCCCTCAGGGGTGTCCGACATACCGACAAAATGATCCGCAAACAGCATTCCTGAAACCGACGTTTTCGTGTCCCCTACTTTTACTCCCTTCCCGGCTGCCTCTACGACTTCCAACAGATCGTTGATGAACACCTGGAACAATGTTGGGGACAGCGTGCAACCTTGTGGGACACCCTGCTCAATGTCGAACGTCTCCGAAACGCTCTACTTTCCACCGGAACACTTTCCTCTGTTTACTCTCCATGTTTCTAGATCGGTCGATGTTTGCCCATAGGAGAAAGTGGTCATTCGAACCTGTATCTATCCTTACGTGCAGCTCTGGGATCTGTTTGCTCCCCCTATCTACCAGGATGTAGTCGAGGATTGAGTATTCGTTGCAAACTGCCCGTTGCCTGGTGATCTCCGGCTTATCGCATTCCCTCCTACCGTTCAACACCATCAGTTCGTTGCTTCCCAAGAATTCAAGCATCCTCACTCCGTTGTCATTCACTTTGTCTTCTCCGTGCTGCCCGATCGCCTGTCCTCTACTGGAAGCTTTCCCTACTCTGGAGTTGAAATCGCCCACCATGACAACTTCTCCCTTCCTACTGAACCTCTGGACATCTTCCCCAATTTGTCCAAAGTTCTCCTGCGCCTTGCTTGCCACTTTCTTCCACGACGGTGGGACGTATACGTTCCCTAGAACCAAGTCTTTCTCACCCCGCTCCCCAGGTATCTTAAGCCGTAGGCTTCCTCGAACTCCGTTTTCACCACTACTTCCACCACGTCAAACAAGTGTTCCTTGACCAGGAATCCGACTCCCCCCTCCCCCCTTTTCTTCGGGTCTAAGCCCTTTCTTGCCTTCCCTACCCACCGGTATTTCCCTAGTTTGCTCACCACGCCCTCATCCTTAAATTCCCACGTCTCTTGGATCCCCACTACATTTAGATCGCTATGTTCTACTTGGTCCACTATTTCCAACCGCTAGCGCTCACTCCTTGCGAACCCNTCCCTATTGGAGATTTTGCGCACACCATCGTTCGCCTTCCGCTTCTTCTCGGACTTCTTCTGACTTGCTTGTTCGACTGCCCTGCTCGGTCCTTTCTTCGCCTCCGCCGCCCTCGCCTCTTGTCTCCTTACCTTCTCTGTTTCTATCATGTTCGCGATGCAAACCCTCCATCCAAACTTCCTTACGTAGTTCGACAGCTTCTCGATGTCAACCCCCAAGCAATCTTGGCTGTCTCCCTGGGTCACTTTCACCTGGAAGTGTTCATGCTCTCTGCCTACTTGTCCCCTTGCTGACAGTGCGGTCCCTCCCTGTCACAACAGTTCTTGAACTCTATCCTCGTCATGTCCCTTGGAATTCCAAACAGCAGCAGCTCCAACTTGTCTCCCTTCCACAGTTTCTGCTTCCATCCTCCCGGCTTCGTCACCATCCTCATGATCTCCACGGCAACTGGACCGTGGCCACTTGTTTTTCTTGTTTTTTCAGGAAGGTATACGGAATACTCGGCCTTCCCAATCCGAGTGCCCGGCGGGGGTTGTGATTCCTTTCAGCTCCTTTGCCGGCTCACCGACGCTAAATAGCGCCTCCAACATAGGCTTGTAGCCTAGATCCAAGTTCACACCTCCTGGCACAAGTACCCCAGTCTTGTGCCGGGCGCTCTGCTTAGTTAACACCCAGACGTCCCCCGACCACCCAATTTATCATCTCCGAAGTCCCGCGGTACAGGCTACTTTCCTCCTGGGAGGTCATTTTCACCACAATAAGTTCAGGGACGACTTGCATAGCCTAAGATCCTACTCACACGCCGGGATGGAGCGTACACAAACGTCCAGCTTCTCATGTACGCTCCACCATGGGCTGCTACCCCACCCACGCTCCCGAGTAGACCGAATAGGCGGGGGGGGTGGGGGTGTAAGGAACTGAAGCTCGCGCGGTAACGTTTGCCAAACGTCCTGTGACCAGCAGCGGTCGGCATGGCACGGCAATGCATGATTACACACGTACCAGAAGCATGGGATCCATGCGTATGCGCGCAAAGGGTGTAGAAACCAAGAAGAGACCCCTAGAAGCAATCCAGACGTGTTAGAAATAGGGTGACCATTCATGAGATTCCGCCTGCTGGTACGGGCGGGCGGTCAGTCTGTGGGCACCGCCGCCCTACCCACTCTTTCATTGCCGCTCTCCTTGGGCTAACTCTGGCGGAAGAAGAGCGCCCGTCGCCCTAGATAATAAAGCAAAGCTCCCAATAGCCCCAACACCCCGCAGCACCAGAAGCACGACGTCCGCCCAAGGAGAGGAAATCATCGTCTTCAGAATCGCTGTTCCAAACATCCTTCCATGTGTGTGTGTCATCCATACGCTCTGGTGGTTGACTTTTTACACCTCACGGGTGTGGTTTTGAATCCACCAGCGGGCATCACACATAGCTGCATGACATTCGGTAGACCAAAACAAACCGCAAGCGTGAGTTATTTCATGCAAGTATGATTCATTACTTCAAGCAGCGATGCAGTGAATGCCTTGCCGTGGACGGCGAACGCCGCGTTGTTGTGCTGAAACCACGGGAAATGCCCTCAACGCTAGGATAACGTCTACATACCTTTGCCCGCGACGTCTCCGGAAGAACTCTTCAATCGCGGCCTCATCCCCATCCCTCTCCCTCACGGCATCCAGCCCCTTGTACTTGGCCTTGACGAGGCGATCTAGCTGAACAAGTCGAACTCGTCGGCGCTGAAGAATCGAAAAGTGGTGGGAATCGGGGGGAGGGGGGCACGCATCATCGCGCGTGAACAGACCCTTGCATACCAAAACTACGACAAACAGGGTTGAAGAGGTGGGAGCTTGCCAATCTAGGCAGGGATATATCCTGCGTGCTGATGTTCCTACGAAGCATGACATTACGACAGACAGGGGTGACGAGGTGGGAGGTCGCCAACCTAGTAACGGATATATCCTGCGTGCTGATGTTCATACGAGGTATGAAACATGAGTTCGGCTACCTGGCAGGTTGATTCGCTAGGGGGGGGGGGGGGTACTCATAGTCGTGATTCGC